GTAGAGATAGGCGAATAGGCACGAATAAATGAAAATACGGGTAGGTAGGAGAAGTATGGATAGGTAGGAATAAATACAATCATTTTAAATTAAAAAAAAATGATTACAAATAAAATGACATTTAAATAAATTTCGCGGTCGGGTAATTAAATTTTATTTTAAAAATAAAAAATAAGTATAATGAATCATGTAGGTAGGGATACATAGACATTATATGTACTTGATAATTGGAAAGATTTAAAATTTTTTCATTAATTTCAAATTTTATTTAATTATCAGCATCTCGTTCCAATTATCAAATATAAAAATAAACCAAATTATGTATAATTTTGAATTTCATTGAATTTTCAGTTCCCCTGAAATTAAACTTAATTTCTTATAAACTTCTGTACGTATATAAAAAAAAAAAAAATATGTAACGCGTAAATATTATAATTAATTTTGCTATAAATAAATGTGTGTATAATAGTACGTAATATAATATCAGGTACATATTATAAAGTTTATGTAAACTATGTCCAGGTAAATGCCATGTTTACTTTTATAATTTGCGCAATAATTACTAATTAATTATACATTTATTGGAATGTTTATAACCGTATATATCTATTCAATACATGTAGCATTTATCTTGCCGTAGTACATCAAATTTTTTGTTGCTTTATTGATGTAAATTACACGAAATCGACGAAACATATGATAACAAAAATTGTTTATTGATTTAACGAGTTTGATAAATATTTAATTTTAAAACTTTTTTTAAATTTGGATTTTATTTTGAATATCAAAAAGTTATTATTAATTTTGAGTGACTTTTAATTGAAAATTTGATGTTTAGAATAATTGTTAATTTTTCTTTGTATTTAGTAGATAAATTTATTAGATAAGTCAGTAAAGATTGGAGCTTTGACTGAGGCAATAGTTAAATATTAATTTCTTGTTTGCTTTTTGACATTTATATATATATATATTTTTAACATTACAGAATTACAAGTATATCTTAGTGATTGATTCATTATATGCAAAGATTTCATCCCTCGCGTCAGATGTATACCAGTAAATGTGTAGTTTGTGTCGATCGAAAGTCGTAATTATTTTCATCATGGAGAGTTATTCCTCGTCGCTTTTCATAAAGTTCCATTTGCAAAGTCTAGGTTGGTGTCCCGTTTGAGATTTTTGTACAGGATCAGAATTAATCCCGAGTTTTTTCGTCTGTAGTTACTGGAAATAATAATTTTGTCAGTGAGTCAATGACAATTGCTACATATATTTTGAAGTCAAGTTGCGAAATTAATTCAGTGATATATTTTAGCATAGAATTTTCATCACTTTCTTTGTTTTATTAAATGTTCTCCCACTAGTAATGATAATGTTAGTGATAATACTGTCTTAATAACAATAAAAATTTGATGTTTTATAATTAATATGGATATATAATTATTATTTGTTTAAGTTCAAATTATTAAATAAATAAATTTAAATTTTATACAAATAGTTTGCTCAATTTTCAATGATTGCTCTAATAAAAGTATGGTTACGAATGTGTATATTTAATTTTCTAACTGTTATCTTAAAATCATTTTTAGGTATTGGACATCCCGCCGTTCCAGAATATTATTAATTATTAATTTATATGTATATATATTTTTCTATGATAAAATACATGCCGATATTATGAGATTATATTAACGGATATTTATTTTTATCGATTTACATAATTTTTACCAAAATACTTTATATTCTTTTAACAATGTTATCGTGATTACGTGAATTTAATTAAAAATGTGTGGGTACAAAAAATTCGAAATAAGTCGATTGGGTACCCTTATATTAGCGGGATATTAATAATTAAAATTTTTGAAAAATACAGAAAAATAAGGAATTGTTAAATGTCATAAAATAAATTTTTTAATATAAATGCTCCTTAAAATCCCGTTATTATCAGGTTCGCCTTATTTCGAACAGTTGGTACCCGAGAAAGCTTTGTACCCATACATAAAAAAATTACAATAACGCATGTATTTTATTATTATTAAATATATTCCTTCGTAACCACTATTCCATAAGGAAATCATTCTGTCTCTGTTTATTTTTAATAAGAGATGATTTTTAATGATGTATGGCAGAACATATTTTTTCGCGAATTTTAATATTATATTAAAGGTGCGATAAAAATGGTAATTGTAATTGACACACTACCAAAATTATTATTATCGTAAGTATTATCGTAAGTATATCGAAAGATTCGGGATTCACACTCTTCTGTAACAAGATCTGGTATTTGACGGATTGCTTAACTTTTCTTTGTAAATGGATCTTGTGAATTTGACGTAGAATCGGAATACAGTAAGTTCCCAGATAACATTTATGTTGCATAAGATATCTAAAAGATGTCTTTTAGGTGTCTATGTCTAAAAGACGTCTTTTAGATATCTTATGTAACATGCATGTTATCTGGGTTCATTCTCCAATATGAAGATTATTCTTCTTTGTATCGGATACTAACCAGCACACCATAAGGCGGAGGGATTTTGATATAATGAAATTATTGAGATAGTTATCTTGAACGCGATGAAAGTTCTGTTATAAATATATTAATGACTTTAAATATCATTAAGTTTTATATACTCGCAAGTTAATAATTAATAGTAAATACGAT